GCTTCATGTCTTCAGATAATCGCGTAACCGAATGTGGGAACCCTGTAGTAAATTAATGCTAACTTTGAACTACGTGTGTCTACAGTGTGTACATACACTCAGATGGAACATAAGAAAGCTGCTGGATCGTTTTTAGTCTATGTGGATTTAAAAATACTATCGTTTAGGGCTTCCCTGGTGGCGCAGTGGTTGGGAGACCGCCTGCCGATGCAGGGGACACGGGTTCGTGCCCCGGTCCGGGAAGATCCCACATGCCGCGGAGCGGCTGGGCCCGTGAGCCATGGCCGCTGGGCCTGCGCGTCCGGAGCCTGTGCTCCGCGTCGGGAGAGGCCACAGCAGTGAGAGGCCCGGGCACCGCAAAAAAAAAAAAAAAAATACTATCGTTTAATAAGTCTGGTAATTGTATATATTCTGGCAGGGGGCAGCAGTTACAATAATGAAAGAAGGTGAGGAGTTCTTTCATCAATCACAGTCACAAATTTATTAACAACATGTACAAACCAAACCCTCAACCTCCCCTCCCACACCCGATCCTTTTCCAGGTTCCTTATCTCAGTGAATGGCACCACCATCCAAACACTTATGCAAGCCAGACACCAGAAGGCAGCCTGGACACTGGCGCTCTGCCGCGCTCTGCCGCGCTCTGCCCCTGCACAGTGATCTATCACCGCGTCCTGTCAAGTTCACCTCCCAGACACATGTGCTTCTCTCCACCGGCAGCCCGGCCCTGGTCCAGGCTGCCACCACCTCCCACAGCCCCGCACCTCCCGCTGATTCGGTATGGCAGCTGCAGTGACCTTCCAAAAGGCTGATCTGATCAGGTCACCTCCTTCCAGTCAAAACCCTTCAGCGCTTCCCTGAGTTAAGCCCCCATGTAGCTAGCTGTTTCCCGCCTCGCTGCAGGGTATGTCCCGTCCCCCTCCTTCACCTGGAGGACGCCCCTTCACTCTTCACATCGCTCAGCACAGTCAGGACGTGCGTCGGGCTGCGTTCCTGACCCCCGATGAGCACTCCCCCTGTGCACACGCCATCACACAAATGCAAGTTATCCTACGACTACAGTCTGTTCCTCTCACCAGACTGTAAATCCATGACGACAGGGACTGTTTCTGTGTCTGCTCACCTCGGCAGCCTCAACATCCAGCACAGTTAACGCAGTAAACGTCTGCTGAATGAACGTGTGAACGTACAGACACACTTGCTGTGCCTTCCAGTGTGACGACAAATGGCCAAGCCCAGCCAGCGCTCCTTACCGCCACATGGGAAAACCTTAGCTGCCTAACTCACCATCTGCGTGCGGTGAAGGAGGGGCATGGGGAAAACAGATCCCATGTGTGCTCCTCAATGGGGCGGGGGGATGTATTAGGATATTCAGTGAATTCTGACCGTGTTAAAATATTTAGTGGAAGAGGCTACGTATTCTCAAGAGACAAGGTCATCTCAGAAACTACCTTAAGATTTTGGCATAGGGCAGAATTTTGAACACACTTTCAGAGTTTTCCTACTGAAGGGAGAAAACTTGCTTTTACATTAGAAGTTTCCATATCAACACTTTAGGAATGAACAGCTAAGGCATCCACGGGTGCCACTTGAAAGGCAGTTCAGGCTAAACTTCTCAGAAAACAGCTTTAAGAGAGCTTGGCCTTGAGCACAACACCCTTTTCATCCCCAAGCTCGAGTGCAGTGGTTTTCCTTCCTGACGCCCCACGCCTCCTCTGTCACAATGAAGAAAGCGAGTATGGGGGGAAGGAAGAAGGAAGGGGAAAGGAGCCCGCTGGTCACCCTCAGCCGAACCGTGGGCAGGAGGGCTGCTTCCTGAGCCCGTGCCCCTCCCCAGATGACAGGGACACACCAGGCCAAACCAGCCAGCTGGGCAGAGGGCGTGGTACCTCCTGGACCTCAAACCATCCTCCTTCAAAGTCTACCCATCACACAAGAGTAGAGCCCAGAGCAGCTGGGAAAAGCAATGGACCACAGCACTGGAGCCCCAGTGGGGCGGGGGCGGGGGGGGCACCCCGGGGGATCAAGCAAGACCTCTCAGTCTGCCTGCCCATCTCTGCACCGGTGGCTTTCCTCTCAGCTGTGTCACACTTTACCTAAGCCTCTCTCGTTCCTGGATGGCTCCCAGCGGGTTTTCCAGCTCGCATTCCAGTGTTTGCCTGTGTCTGGGCTTGGGTCCCAGACTGCAAGCTCCCCAAAGACAAGATCTGTTGCAACCGTCTGTGCGATACCCTGTGCCTGGCGCCGGGGCGACAGATGCTCACTGAACGTGTGGACGTGCAATGTCTTTAACAAGTGGTGATCGCAGAAGCAGTACTGACAGAAAATGCAGCAAGTAAATATTATTTCATTTATATAATTGTCTTACAAATAGAGTCATCCACTGACTCTGTTCAGACATACCAATCAACAACACTTTGCCTGACGAATTCAAGAGGTCTGGAGGAGACTCAAACCGGGGCCATGCAGACGTAGCCATCTTTATGGTTTGCCTTCAATCCTGTTGTTAAAAATCATCATGGGAAGCCACCTAACAAAATTCTTAATCTGGGCTTGAATAATAGGAATCAATAACCATCTGTTCAAAGGACACATCTGTAGAGCTGGTTATTGGACGCTTCAGCTTTAACATCTACGAGGGAGCAAAAAACAACAGTAACAAAAACTAGATACTCTGTAACAGCCTTAGAAGTGCCTATCAGCCAGTAAGCTCTTAGTGATCTCTGGAGTGGCCCTCATAGGATTCACGTGGAGAAAGACTTAAGGGTATTCATCTTACAAGGCAAAATCTCCAAGACCCTCCCCCACCAAAAAAGAGGCAGGTAGAAATTCCCTATGGAAAACAGCTGTGACTCACATAAAGGGGGAACTCACAATACCACCTGGAAATAATTGAAAATATTATACAAAATATAGTCTTTCAAAATCTTACTCTGGTTACCGGGACCCTAACATACAAAGATGTTACAAGTTAAGGATGGCTACCATCCTTCCTTAACAGTTCAACAACTATCTTCACTTTGTCGGAAGAACATTTTCCAAGTTTCTGATCCATCATAAAGGAACTTCAAAGCCAAATGAAAACACACGTGCCCTAAGAAATAAAAAGAGAGCCTTAAAAAGGAAGAGCATTCTGACACACATCACAACATGGATGAATCTTGAGGACATCATGCTAAGTGAAATGAGCCAGCCACAAGAGGACAAATACTGTGTAGTCTCACTTATATGAGGCACCTAGACGAGTCAAACTCACAGAACAGAAAGTAGAGGGGTGGCTGCCAGGGGCTGGAGGGAGGGGGAAATGGGAAGTTAGGGTTTAATGTGTACAGCGTTTCTCTTTGGAAAGATGAAAAGGTTCTGGAGATGGATGGTGGTGATGGGTGCACAACAATGTGAATGTACTTAATGCCACTGAACCGTAACTTAAAAATAATTAAGATGGTAAACTGTATGTTAATGTAAATTTTACTACCAAAAAAAAAAAAAACAAGACAGAAAAAGAATAAGAAATTACAGATCCTTATGAGAAAGAAAAATAGTGACCGGAAACAGGTTTACTGACTTTTTTTCTGAGTGATATTTTAAAAGCTGAACTCTGCATCTTTTCTTTTAATGAAATAAAGAAAACTACACCAGGAAAGGTAATCTCCTGATCACTGCTCTGTGTAACACAGCACAGGACTGTGCCCTGAGTAAGATGTTGTGCTTGGGTCTGTTTTATATCACAGGAATTGTAAACCCTGAACGTCACATGCCAATCGCAAATTGTAAATGAAAAGAAGAATTCTGTGTAGGAAAAAACATTTCTGCATCACGAATAAATCATCTTGATGATGTAACCTAGGCAAAAGCTCTATTGGCTTCTGAATCTTTTAGCATATTAACATAGTAATTTATTTAACCTAACAGTAACACTTTATTAATAAAGAACTCCTTTTAGAGAATCTAAAATTTAACAGTAGAAAAAACACATAAGCACTGACTACAGAACCAACTCGTTTGAAAAACAAGAAATAAATCCCACATGTATCTTTTATTGCAATTTTTCATGAATCCAGATATTCTCTCCACCGTGATTCAAAACTCCAAAATCTTCTCCCCAATATCTAGCCACCAGTTCAAAGCTGATAGAACAGATACAACTCTAAAAGAAACGCTGGTCACAAAGAACCTGCCTCGTTCCCACAACGTAAATGAAAGCCTTATATAAGAGCCCAGCCTGGCCACAATCTACCCGAGATGGCAACATAATCAGATGCAGGGGGACAGAGATGGGGGCACAGCAGCGCTCCAGTCAGCTGACGTTTACGATGTGCACCGGCAGTGCAGGACTAGAGGGCCCAGGAGCCTCCTAATCAAACTCCAGGGCTACCTTCCTTCATCTGCAATTCAAATTCATTACTAAACCTGTTTCAGATAGGAATCCTGCTGCCACCAGCACATTCCCGGGTTAACAGAGCACAGCTTCACGGGCCTGTCGTAAAATGGACTGGAACGAAGCTGCCCCCAGAAGGACAGCGTCTTCTCTGCCGGATGCCCTTTAAAGCGCCAAAGGAAGAGCTGGGGTGCAGCTGGCTCCAGACCCTCGAAGGGAGTCGGCGTGCTCCGTCGGAAGCCACCTGACTCTCCCTGCGATTTAGACGACTTTTCTTTTTAAGAAACTTCCAAGTTGCATTAGAATACAGATTTTAAACAGACCGAAACCGCGTAAAAGGGGATTCTAATTTTTATAAAAGACCCAAACCACTGGGGGCGGGGCGGGGGCTCGCAAACAAGACTGTAGAGAGGAAAGCATCATAATCTTGTTTTCTCCAGTAGTTCCACAAAGGACCAACTAATAACAAAGAGAGGAGACAATTGACTACTCCTGTCCTCTCGTCCGTTTAGAAAAGAGCTCTATTCTACAAAAAAAACCTGCCCCAACACCTCGCCCAGGTAACTCCACTTGAAAATAATGCCCGAAGCATCCGACCCCGCCCAGATACTGGGTTACTTACTGGTTTCGGCATTTTCGGTTCCTGATGGGTCTTTCTCAGTCTCCTGGAAACACACTCTCCAGCAGCAGCTGAAACGGTTTTCCCAACCTAGAGGCAGAGGAAACCCTTTTAGAGCGCCCAGCAAACCTCCTCCGGCTCCCGCCGCCGCCCCAAGACTCGGCGCCCACCCCGCGCTGCTGCTTAAGAACCGGCCGGGCGGGCGCCGGGATGAGTCACCGCCCAACCTGCAATTACGGCGGGCCGGGCGGGCGGGACCTGCGCGGAGGGCGCCGGGCGGGGAGGGGGCCGGGTGGGCGGGGAGGGGGCCGGGTGGGCGGGGCGGGGAGCGCGGAGCCTGGGCGGAGGGGGAGGGGATCTCGGCGCAAGGCGCGCAGGCAGGCGGGGAAGCCGGCGGCGAAGGGGCACGGGACCGCTGGGCCGGGAGGGGGCCGGGAGGGGACCGGGGCGGGGGGCGCCGGGCGCCTGGGCGGGGGTCCCCCGAGGTATTCCTCGGGGCTTTCGGGAAATCAGCCTGAAGCCCATAAGACTGCAAGTTTCACTTTGTGAAGCAACCGTTTGCCCCAGGGCTGAAACCGCAACCGTCAAACCTTTGAGAAACACTTTTAAAAAATGTCCCCGCCCGGGAGCGGGGAGGGCCGCCCGGCCGGGCGAGGAGGGAGGGGGCGCACCCACGCAGCCCGGACTTCGCTGGCATTTGGGAGAGGGACCCGAGGGGGCAGAACAGAAAGAGGAAGGTGGCGGAGCAACCGGGGCGGCCACGCGGGCAGGTTCAGCTTCACCTGCCGTGTGTTTGGGCCGCAGGGAGAACCGCGTGGTCGGGACTCCACCGGCCCAAGACCCCAGGAGGCGGCGGCGGAGCAAGC